TGTAACTACAGGGGGTGTGAGTGATTGCTGGACCCAGACTAGCAGGAGATTAGTCTGTAAAAGGAAGCTTACTGGAACTGGTGAGGTTTTATCTGTATTCAGTTTTCTTAGACGTAGATTGGCATGTTTTATTTTATTTTACTTGGTAATTCACTTTGTTCTGTCTGTCACTACTTGGAACCACTTAAATCCTAATTTCTGTATTTATTAAAATCACTTTTTACTTATTAATTAACTCAGAGTATGTATTAATACCTGGGGGGGAGGGGGAGCAAACAGCTGTGCATATCTCTCTATCAGTGTTACAGAGGGCGAACAATTTATGAGTTTACCCTGTATAAAGTTTATATAGGGTAAAATGGATTTATTTGGGGTATGGACCCCATTGGGAGTTGGGCATCTGAGTGTTAAAGACAGGAACACTTCTGTAAGTTGCTTTCAGTTAAGTCTGCAGCTTTGGGGCACCTGGTTCAGACCCTGGGTCTGTGTTGGAGCAGACTGGTGTGTCTGGCTCAACAAGACAGGTGCTGGGGTCCCAGGCTGGCAGGGAAAGCAAGGACGGAAGTAGTCTTCACACATCAGTTGGCAGTTCCCAAGGGGGTTTCTGTGATCCAACCCGTCACACAAGGATTCTATCAGGTTGCAGCACTTATACCACAGTCATTGCTTTGACATACGAGTGCTTTCTTAGCCTGATCCTGTTACCTGAAATTGGGCCAGCTAGTAAGCTTAGGGAGGACTCATAACCCACCAGAGTTTGGCAGAAAGCAGCACGTTTATTATATTGATAGCTAAGCTCAAAAGAAGGGGGAGGGGAGATCAAATTCACACTCGCATACTCATGCTCCCAGGACAGGCACAGCACTGGAGATGTCAGGATCCTTCAAGGTAAGTGTCCCACAGCGCAGCGATGGATGGTGCGATGAAGGTAAGTCTTCCCGAGGCAAGATGGAATGCAACGCGGCGAACCACTGGCCAGCGGTCCGGGCGAAGGGCCTTCATGGGAGGTACAAGCTTGTGATTGCACATGGCCCCTTCCCCTTTTAAGGACCTGCTCCTCATGGCCTGCGACTAGAGATGTCTTGGCCACATCTGGTTGGTCACACGCCACCTCGGGCAGTGTCCATGCAGTGGGTGTGTGAGTGCTGCCTAATTAGAGTCCCAGACACCTTGTCTACCTAGAAGCTCTTCTGATCTTCCAGCTGTTCAACCAGCCCATTCATCTCACAAGCATTCCAGGAGGGAGTGGGAGGGGGAAAGGCACTTCACAGGTATTCAAAGAGGGAGGGGGAGGGGGGGAGTGTAACAGACCTTTTGAGCATACAGGTTATACATAACATACAGATCACTGGTGCTCCTACATCAGATCCTGCTCCCACAAAGACAGCTAATCGGGTGCTAAAAAGGGGCAATTTACCTGCAAATTGTAGTGGAGAAGTTTGACTGCATCTGAGCAGCCAGCCTGGATTTAACAGGCTATGCAGCACTTTGAAATCCCTGCTGGTCTAGGCTTTGCAGGAAAGGAAAACTTTCTAAGCGTCTAGCACAGCACAGGACCGCAAGACTCCTTCTACAGCAAGCACTGAACTCTGAGCAGGACGCCTGCCACCAGTGAGCTGAGCTGAGCTGAATGGCCTTCTTCACAACTGCTTCATCTGCTGCAGGTTGTCTGCATACCAAAATGACTTATGAGCAGCGTTTGTAGGGAAGGGTCATCTGTGCTCAAGGGTAAAAGATGACTATGCTGTCCTACCAAACCATCAGCAGAGTTTTCTAAACCACACTGTATCCTACACACATAACCGGTGGGTGCCATACAGCACTATATGGACACCCTGTGTCTAGCCATGGGCACCCTTTCCAAAGTTCAGTACAGGTGCAAATAATGTAGTGGAACACGAAGAGATTAGCAAAACAGCAGGTTGGGCAAGCAAATCATCCATTCCTTCTGCAAAAAGATTAGCCTCAGTTTCCTTGTAAATGCTATTAACTACTAGAATTAACTGAAGCATCAGCGCCACTAAATCAGTTGCGTCACTTGCTTTGTTTTGGGAAAAGCGAATATCGTAAGCTGGAGCTGTTGCTGGAGTATAGTCAATGCTGGGGGACACATTTCAATTTAACAGGAATTTAAAAACCTTTATTTTCTAAAAATACTCAAAACCCCCCCAAATATGGAACGCAAGCCTTGAGTAATATTCGAATTTTTATGGTAGGTTGATGAAAAATGGGTGGAGACTAAGAACAAAAATTTCAAAATTACCACTTTCTAAAAATTTGATTGAGCGTCTGATCTTTTGTGGACCCTTTTAACAACAAATCTGGAATCCTAGGCTTTACACCATATATTGTTCTTCATGTGCTAATTACTACAATATAGGTTTTGCTTTGGCTGTATTTGTTCGTCTAATGATTTTTCACTTTTTAAAATAACCGAAAAGAAAAGTGCCACAGAGTAATCAGTTGTATTTAGAAGGGGAAGAAGGAAAAAGACCTTCATGGACCATATCTTGTAGCCTGGAGAAAACTACATTAAGCTAGGAGCCTAGATCGTGTGAGTTCAAACCTTGCCTCTATTAACTGCAGTTTATATTGCCATGTATTTCACCACCCTTATTATTAAGGCCAAGAAACCTACCAGCAACCTCCAAAACCTTAATGCATATTAACTTCCCAACTGCACAGAATGTGAGCCAGTTAGATGCATCGATCTGCTGATACGAGAGCATATGAAGTCACTGCTAAGGTTCTGCAGAAGAGTGCAAGCCGGGGGACATATTACTTTTAGGAGTGGGAAGGGAATGCTTTATGCTGGAGTGTGTTACCAACAGCACTGTAGGTAATGTGAAAATGTCACGGAAGCCAAGAGACTCCTTTAATTTCTTATTTCCATGCTTTCAAGAGTTTGGGTGAGTAGGGTGTATCCTGAGACAAGCTTAACACTCACTAAATTAAGTTTTTGCTTGTGTATACACACTTTACTTGAACGCAACATGGAACAGAATTACTGCTTAGAAAGATTATTATTCAACTTCAGCCTCAGCACAGAATTTTAAGTGCTGGCCAGATCAGATTAGCAATTTGTCCTTACAAGAGGGACTTCACAAACATACAACCCAGAACACAGCGAAATCTTTAAAAAAATCAATTTGGGTATTTAAAAAAATGGTGGCAAACATACATTCTCTTGTCAGACAACCAAACTTGAGATCCAGGTTGTCCTTGGACAAGACACTTTATTTCCAAGACTGGGCAGGTTTACACTATGAAATATGGATCCCAATAATCTCCCACTTGCTTTACAACAATAAAAATTTAAGAGGAAACTGTAAAGATAGAGAAAAATGTTAAAACATTCTAGACAAGTTAGTTTTTGTTCTAAATGCTTCGACACACATCCATACTATTTGATGTAACACATGTGTATTTACCAATAATTTGGAAGAGTAGCAGCATTGGTCTGTCCAAACTGATGTAATTGTTTTCTGATTGAGACATCAGCAAGCCTGCTTAATACAACGACGATTTGAGCCCCGGCCACATTTTCTGCCTCATTCACTCTGAAAGAGAGGACAGATGCGAGCTCTTCACCCATAATGGCTGCCAGCAGGGTGTGGGAACAAGGAAGCACTGATTATCTGTTGGTTTATCATCTCTAAGGCACCATCTACACTAGGAAATTTCCCCTTGCCTGACTTGGTGGAATCAGGTCTCAATTGTATACGGGTGCTGAATACAGTTTCCTTCCCATCACTTCATCTATGCTACCAGGGCAGCTGTTTTGACCACCATTTCAGGGGGATCCTGATAACCATTATCAGCAATGGGTTAATTTCCTAGTGCACATGGAACAAGTCACAAGTAGATCACAAAAGACAGCACCTCCTCAGTATGCATGTGCTAGACATGAAAACAACATACCCAAACCAATCAGCTGGAGTAAGACAATAATAAAGTAAAAACAATTGTGCCACTGGTAATTATTGGTAGACGAGTCACGCTTATTGGATTAGTTTGCTTAGCGGCTGAATTTCACTTCCCTCCTCTTCCAGAATGTAGCTCATGGATTCGCTCAAGGTAATATATACACAGCCCTGAATGCCAGTGAAAATAGCCACATTTTGCTGACACTGAGATCAGTAAGAATTTTGCCATGGACTGCAACGGGAGTAGGATCGGGCCATTCTGTAAAACAAGCTGAATTGCGGCATGGCAATGTCGAGCTGAAGAGATGGAAAGTTCCAGTGAAGGGGGCAGCAGGAACATAGAAAAAGGCTCGATTTGGGAGCAGGACTAGGGAAGATAATTTTCAGACTGATGGAGTGAAAGTGAAGATACCTGCACACAGTTTTTTTGTACACTTGAATTTATTTTTTTAATAAAGTATTTTTATTTGAGTTCTGTTGAAGCTTTCCATTGTAAGAGTATTTCCACTTTTAAACATGTTTTAACCTCAGTATCTTTGCATTAGCCTGGGTATCTGTTTTAAATGGATGTCTGCTTTTAACCAAAAGTGTACATGTATTTTTAAAAATACTTGAAAAATGTTTGAAGTGAGAACAGGGAGATTATTTTTACTTTAATACAATCGAAAAGGAAGTTGTTTGATACAAGAGAGCTCAGCCCTGAAGACAAATGTATTCCACGTCTGTAAACCCTGGTCGGTATTAACTTTGTACTCATCCTTTCAAACTAGGGAGGGAGTGGTATCATCGCCCTGACCCCCTAAAAGTGCCTCTTCCAATGAAATGCTCTGATCCTACATTCCTTACTCACCTGAGTAATGCTGACTACTTGAACAAGTAAGGTTTTCAGGAGTCACCATTAACCCTTAAAATAAAAAGTACCCCCACACCAGAAATTCAATGCATCATTCAGGTCCTTTGGATAGCAAACTGTTATATAAACACATACCATGGGTTACGGTAAGAGAGGGAATGAGAATACAGGATGGTGTGATGTAAAGCACTTTATAAATGGTGATTAGATACACAGATGCTTTATCAACGAGTTAGCAATGGCCACATTATTCACAAGTGGCCAAGTCATGGGTGAGTTATTCAGAGCTCCCCAAATGAGTGCCAATAAAGCTGTTACGCCAAACGGTACTATCATTTATTCTGTAGATGCCACATATTTCAGAAATACTTCACAGTTTAATTTCTCTTTTTTTTTTAAAAAAAAAAGCATGATTATTTTTCACATCCCTTCACCTGTAAAGCCCAGGTCCTTTAGTAACATCAATCCAACTGCACAGACAGAGGAAAAAGACATGTAATAAATTTAAGAATCCTCTAAAAAAGTGACCTAAAATTGATCCTCCTAATATAGTATCATACTACTAAAGTCTAATGTCTCAGGAGTTTCCAGGAACCTTTCAAATAACAAAGTGCCCAAGTCCAGCCCTTCATCAGCCATTGAACTATATTGGACTCCTAGACTTTAAGGTCAGAAGGGACCATCGTGACCATCTAGTCTGATCTCCTACATATTTCAGGTCACCAAACCTCACCCATTCCTGAAATAGGCCCATAACCTCTGGCTGAGTTACTGAAGTCCTCAAATCATGGTTTAAAGACTTCAAGTTACAGACAATTTACCATTTATACTAGTTTAAACATCAGAGGGGTAGCCGTGTTAGTCTGAATCTGTAAAAAGCAACAGAGGGTCCTGTGGCACCTTTGAGACTAACAGAAGTACTGGGAGCATAAGCTTTCGTGG